GGAGTTATTGGTGATTTTTATTTCCTTATGTATGTTTCAGTTTTTAATAGTTTTTCTTCTTTTATAAATAAGAACTTAAAGAATCGCACTTCTAATTTATGCCATACATTTTATGCCATATTTTCTATGCCATAAGTATGGAATACTTACTTTTTGTCTTATGATGGCAGAAAAACCAAAGTGACTTCCTTGACAGAGGAAGTGAAAATGTTGCAGGGAGCCCTGAGCATTTTCCAATTGTTAAACCTTTCTCCTTTTTTTTCTGCTCGAGAAACCATTTTAGAAATTTTATGCTTGACTGTCTTAATAGCAAACTCTGGCTCCTGCAACTTAGCTTGCCTGCTTCCTGCACCCGCCTATGTCCATGTGCTAATAGGAGATAACAAGTCTCATACCACCCTAAGGTCTGGATGCAAATTAGGCTCCAGAGCTGACCAATGATCTGTGTCCCATAATCAGCCAATACAAATTAGCAGGACTGCATCCCTCATTTACATAGGAAGACCTGAATGGAAACTTGGGTGGGAAGTCAGGGCTGGAATTTTGGCTATATAGGACTGCCTCTTTCCTTTGTTCAGGGAGACGTTGATCTAGGAGTCTTCACTCCCCAGTGATCTCCTTGCTTGCAAGCAAATAGGCGCTGTAACACTGAACAAAGAGCTGTAACACCAAATAAAGAGCTGTAAAACTGCAACACTGGCTCCGGTCTTGGATTCCTCTGTGCAATCTCCCCACAACAAAAAGAACATTTAAGTACAGAAAAGGAGATAAGTGTATTCAAAATTTCCATCGTCTAAACCTTAAGCTTAGGTCACGTTTTGCAAATCGCACCTGTTAGGAGAGAGTAGGTCTCCTTCTGGGCACATGCAGGAAGTAGTCACTTCTGCCTGCTGCCCTCTCCCTGCCTGCTCTTTCTAAGTTTATAAATTGCTTCAAACTTTATCAGATCAGAAAGGCGTCTGGCTCTTCATTATATGAAAACACACTCAACTTCTCATGTAATAAGAGAAACGCAAAGTGAACCTCTCTGGGCTGTCAGATTGGCAGTCGAAGCCACTGGCTGTGAGGGCACACAAGTGAAGGACTGAAGCCCACAGGTGTACCTCCACATGTTTGAAACCATGTGTTCAGTAGATTTTAACAAACACTGTGCAGCAGCTCCTCTGTGCTAGTCACTGTTCTAAGTGTGTCACCATCATCAAATCATTTAATTTCCCGAACAGCTCTGTGCAGTATATATTATTACTATTCCCACTTTATAGGTGAGGAAACTGAAGAGCAGAGATTAAGGAACTTGCCAAATGCCACACAGTTAGTCGGGGGGGGGGGGGG